GTAAAACACTACTCTATATTCAACAGCAGAGGGCGCTCTTAACTTATTTACAGAAGAGGAATTGTATTTTCCACCGTAATAAGCCTCCCCTCTCTTGCTGCCTCACTTTTGTGCACGCGTAGACAAGTATATACACAGTATACATATCAACTTTATTTTAATCTGACATGAAGGGTAGCTTCTGCTAAATTCCAGCTCCAAATAAGCTCTCTATAGCAAACACTCAATATTTTTTTCACAATATCCTAATGGTTAAGTTGTCAGTTGGGTTTGTTATGTCTGAGCATTCTTATGGTAACAACTACTAAGAAGAGTGGATGTACATTATAACTCATTGCGTTCTTTAGTCACTGTCTTAACTTGGGCATTGTCATTATTTGCCATATTGAACTCTAGTCTGTGCAGAGTCTTAGTCCTGCTGCTTGTCATTTTCCTATTGTATTACTAACACGTGTAAGTTGATAGATACTTTATTGTCCATTGCTGTGGAAATTTGTCTGCAAAAATGTATTCCTCAGCATCTGTCTGTTTGTTGTTATCAGTATTTATGTAATATCTTATTGATGCCTGCTCCCCTTTGAAAAGCTGGGAGTGGTCTCTTTCCAACACATTGTTGTTGGCGATTTGGCCAGTTTGCAATCTTTGTGAATTACACAATCCTTAAAAGATGGATTTGAGAAATTAATTTTGTTTATAAAAACTCAAATATGATGTCATAACCTGTGTCACCCTATTTTTTTGGAGACGTTCAGCAATCACACTATCTTACTGACTAAAGATAGAGGTTTAATAGGCCTTTAATTTTTCCCCAAATTTGTATACCTCTAAATGCTAAATTCCTCTCCACAAGGAACAAAAAAAAAGTCCTGTAGTTAGACTCTAATCCTATCTCTTGCTGCTGTGATATAATTTTATAGTTTACTTTCTTTCCAGGCAAGGTAAGGCTTGAGATTGGTCCCGGGTTTGTGTCGTTGAGGTACAGCTGAAAAAAAAGCCAGCTTTTGTATCTCTTCACTAAATTGATGTACAGTCACTCCCCCAAACAACATAGTGTACATTAACAGTATAATACTTTATTCATTTTCTGTAAGGATACACAAACATTTTACATTTGATTTCTTTCCCGTAGCCCTCTGAAATCGTACGCTTTGGGGAAAATGTCGATTTCCCTTTTCTGGGAAATGATCCATCAGGACATTTTACAACACCCAGCTCTGTCATTGGGAGATTAAACGTTTTAGTAATGCAACCGGGGAAGGTCCGTTTGATGGATCTGTCAATGTCATTTTTTAGTACTGCTCACAGAGACAGTGTAAGACTAATTACTTTGTCCTCACACTACCTCCTTGCTTTCCTCACTTGAGGTTGACCTCCTGCTGTGCATGACCTCCCTCGCTTCACTGGTGGCAGTTGTCCCTGGGCTTCGCTCACAAGCCAAATCCACCATATTATGATTGCATCTCCCTTGGCCTCGCTGAAAACCCCCTGCTTGCTGCTGCAGGTGCTGTCACCTCCATCAGAGATATTTTTATAGAGGAATGTGTTAACAATTCAGTCAGTTTTCTCTGGCCCTACGTTTTTTCCTTTTTTAAGTTTACGGCATTGGGCTCCAGACACTTTTTTCCTTGGCACGTTCAAGGTTGAAAGCTCGCTAGCAATTAGCACAGAGTCAACTAGAAGACTTTCCATTCTCGTGCCCGCACTCTGAAGTGACATAAAGCAAGTGACGTGAGAAATCGAGACGTGTTTATGTGCAGTGCTGCAATAATAGTGGCTGTTAAACTTGAGAAAGTTCTGTTCCAAGTATTTTACTTTAAGACCTTTGGTATCTTTACTCTTAATTTCTTTTATGTTGGGCACAGACAGTTTGAATGACCAAAATCGTTTTCACCTAAGGTTTAATTTGGGAATCTGTAGAATCTGTGACTGGGGGGCCCACAGGCTCTGTTTGTGTCCCAGGACAAAGCCCACTTTAAGTACGTGTGCACAGAACTAATACTAATAAATGACATCCAAATTATTATTAAAAAAATAATAAATCTGTAAATTATTATTACAGATGTGCCTGGAAAGGTAAGATGTGTTGCACTGCAGCATTGCTGATTTAGTCCCCGGATAGTGTACGCTGTTGTATAAGTTGAAGAACAGTCCTTTGAAGATCCTCATACTTACACATTTTTGCAGTTCCTTTTTCTGAATAGATTACTTTTGTCTCTTTATCATTTATATCTATATTGAGGACATAACTGAATTTTTGAAACCATAATTATTTAAATTCTTAATAAAAATTGGCAATCAAGTGTTGAGTGGTTATAGACATTGTGATCTGATGTACCCAGAATATCCTTGTTCCAAAGCAGTTATCTGTCACATGTTAACTCATTTCTAGGGTTTATTTCAGCATTAGCTTAACTTTACAATTTTAAATTTCAATAACCCATGACAGATGTTTCAAAAAGCCAAGCCAATGGTTTGAGATCAACAGGAATTTTTGTTTGCTGTTTTACAGAAGGTTGTAGGGACTCAGTCAAGTAAAAATTGTGCAGATGGATAATATATTTCAGTTTTATGCTCTGCCCTTGGAAAGTAGTGATGTTTTGTGCACCACAAACATGTATTTAATACTTTTGTAAAGTTAATTCGGTATGTCATTAGTAACAGGAGTACTGGGGTAATCAGATTTTCTTGTCATTTTCACCATCTACTATGTGGGTAATTTTTTCCTATCACATCTTCATGATTCAAATACCTAATAAATGAATCCTGACAGTTGAACACTGCTAAGGAGTATGTGAAATGAATAGTGTAGTTTTGTTTATTAAAACTCCTGTGGTTGTCATGACAATTGCTGTTGTCTTGTGCAAATCTTTTAAAAAGACAGAGGAAGCAAACATGAGGAGGTCTTTAGGCATGTAGGAGTAAATGAACTGGTTGTGCTTTTTAATATGTGTGTATATACAGTACGTTCTAACTTACAGATTCGGTGGTAGTGGTATGTTTGTGAAATGTTGTCCAAGATTACAATGAATGTTTTATGCATGCAAATTTTGAATGCAAAAAATAGAAGCATCGGAGATTCAGATAGTTCAGCAACATGTAATAATAATAGCTAATAATAGCTTAGACTTATATAGCACTTTTCTGGACACTCCACTCAAACTTTACAGGTAATGGGGACTCCCCTCCACCACCACCAATGTGCAGCATCCACCTGGATGATGTGACGGCAGCCATAGTGCGCCAGAACGCTCACCACACATCAGCCATCAGTGGGGAGGAGAGCAGAGTGATGAAGCCAATTCATACTGTAGATGGGGATTATTTTGAGGCCATGATTGGTAAGGGCCAATGGGAAATGTGGCCAGGACACTCTTTTCGAGAAACACCCTGGGATTTTTAATGATCACAAAGGGTCAGGACCTCGGTTTTACGTCTCATCCAAAGGACGGCGCTTGTTTACAGTATAGTGTCCCCATCACTATACTGGGGCATTAGGACCCACATGGACTGCAGGGTGAGTGCCCCCTGCTGGCCCCACTAACACCTCTTCCAGCAGCAACCTTAGTTTTTTCCAGGAGGTCTCCCATCCAGGTACTGACCAGGCTCACACCTGCTTAGGGTTGTGCCTGTGTAAATGGTGCCAAACAAATAAGAAGCCTTGGAATATTTTATGACTAGGAAGTTGGGAAAAGCTAAGGTGAAAGCACCAAGGCATTGGCAAACTTGCTTTTAAATACTTAGGTGTTTGTTTAATTGTAGAGAAGCGGTAGGAACTTACTGAAGGGCTTCGTCAAACCTACATTCCACATACGCATACAGTGCAAGGATCAAGCCCAGTCTTCCAGCTGTTTCTTCTTCCTAGAGATGGGAAGTAAGCATCCTTTATAACTTTAATTTTCAATTTTCTGATTATTTAATGTATATATATATATCCTTGCTCACCATCGAAATCAAAATTCTAGCAGGCAGAATAGGTCATCAAATTTCATATGGGTTGACAGGTCTGGATTAATGTTTTTTTGTCTCTAAAGTAGTCTTCACTGCTGTAAAACATTGTCCTATTTGCAGAGATCTTTGCATGGTATAAGGTACTGTTGTAAGAAAATGTTTGTGAACCCTTTGGAATTATCTGGATTTCTGCATGAATGGCTCCTGAAATGTGATCTGATCTTCATCTAAGTCATAATAATAAATAAATAGTCTTCTTTAACAAACAACACACACAATATTTTACATTGTCATGTCTTTATTGAACAAATAGTTTAAACAAGGTCATTGGTAGAAAAGGTATGTGAACCCTTATATTTAGTAACTAGTGGAACCTCCTTTATTGGCAATAAACTCAACCAAATGCTTTCTGTAGCTGCTGATCAGACCTGTGCTGTTGTTAAGAGGTATTTTGGCCACTTCCTGTATACAAAACTGAGTTCATGTATATTTTTGGGATGTCTTGCTTGAACGACCTGCTTCAGATCACATCACAGCATTTGACTAAACTGTATATACCTTATACCATTATTGGTTTATAATATACATGGTATTATAAACCAAGTATAATTTCACATGTTATATGTGTTGCTGAAAACTGTCTTGGATGAGCGGCAGTAATATTTTTAAGTTGGAGATAAACACAGATTAAGGTTTTGGTCAGCTGGGTCCTAGGTTTCTGGATCCTAAGGTCCTATTCCTAAAGTTGACAAACTCGTGTGATGGTCATTCCATGCAATTCAAGCACTTACGATATTGTTTTAAATGGCAGTGAGTTTCATAGTTTAAAAGCAAAGGATTTACAGCCATGGTGAAACTGCTTCTATTACAGGTATATGGAAATAACAGTTATATACATTAATAATTGCTACAACTGTTAAAACAGAAATACTTAAATGCATGTTTCTCAGTCTTTTACTTAAAGGTGTTATGAGGTACCGTAGGTGACCTCCTGTTACATTGCTTCTTGAAATGGAGCACCAGAGCCGCTGTATGCCTATAAGAGATCAAACACAGCTTAGGTTACCCAGTACTAAATGGCTGTAGAGCCATCCACTGGAGAGGATTAGGTAACCTCATAACACCTTTATGTACTGTATAAGATTTACGGAACACCTGCGTTAGGATTGTGGGAGTATGGAGCAAACTACTCAGTCATGTTGTTGATTTCTTTTAAGAAATAGCTGGATGAGGGCCTTGTATCCATTACGTACTATCAAACAGGCCAAAAGGACCAAGTGACTTCTTCCTGTTTCTAATCTTTTTAACAGTATATTCTTAAGTACTTTTGTCTTTTCAACTTCTTAGAAACCTATGACTAGAGTTGGCTGATACCACTGCTGGAATTTGATTTGCGAATTTATAATATGTATGCTGACCCTTAATAAAGGATTTTCTGCAGTGTTTTTTTTAAACACTCCAGTCAAAAAAAAAAAACTTTTAAATCAACAAAAACAATAATCATGGGAACTTTTTCTGGGAAGAATAACCAATTGTTCACCAAAATATAGTTTAAAAATTAATAGTGAGTAATAAAAGGTCGAGAGAAAGAGTTCTCAGGCAACTCTTGAACCTTCCTGTGAAAATATAAATATCTTCCAAAACAGGAGGTCTTTTTTTATTGGAAGCCTATTTTCATTTCAATCACCCCTCCCTAGGGAGCAGCAGTGGTTTGGTACAAGGGTCTTGATTATTCATGTTTCAGTAGTGGCAATGAGAATGAACATAGTCCCTGCTGTACAGGTGGAGACTCCAGGTTATATATAACCAAAGGACAACCTGTAGGAAAGGTATCTATATTTTTGTTAATAATAGTGTTACTCCATAGTGTCCAGTAAAACCGACTAAATTGTACCTACTGTAAAATTTAAATCTTTAGAGGACAAGGTGTAGTTGGAACTATTGATAGATTCAACTTTTCAAGTTCTGGAAACTCTTCAACACATGATCAGTGCAATCGTTTCGGTGTGTGTGTACTGTGCAGCGTATTGTTCAAAAGTAAATGTGACTATTTAAAAAGTACATGCTTTACCATTCTGGTAAGGTTATCATGTGTACCGTTAATAGCAGATTTGCCTTTGTTCTTCAGAGTACATCCAATTTTACCTCTAAATCAGTGGAAATCTAGTTCACAAGTGTCACTTTAAAAAGACAAAAAAGTTATATATATGGTATATTATTAAAAGGAGTGAGAATGTCACTCAATTGCCTGAAAATCACTGATGGCAGTATCATCTTGAGAGCTGAATGTGGGGTAGAAATCATAAGAGCATACATCATGTCTGGAACTGCTGATATCAGCACTAGTTCAGCTCCGACTCATCTGGGGTAAGTGAGTCATTGATGTGGGAACAAATAATTATACAAGCAATTTTGACCTGCAAAGCCTCTACTGACCAGCCATAAATCAATTTAACAGTCTCTTTGGTCAGAAGTCTGTCTTTACCTTAACTGTCAGGACTTTCTGAGCCTAGTGTTCAGCACCAAAGTCAATGTTTATTTTAAAGTCTGTTTTTTTGCACAAGAACTTTTCCCCTTTTTGAGTGACAGTCTGGAAAACACTGGCAGGTCAGAAGTGTTAATTGTCTTAAAGAGCATCACTAATTGAAAGTGACCTCGAGGGAGCAAAGTAGCACTTCATAAACCCGAATGATCTAATGAAGGGTTTTAGATGCTGTTAAAACATTTATATAAGGGAAAATCTTGCCAAGAATAATAGTAATAACATTCTGTTTTTCTATGTTTTCACTGCTCTGTATGACAGCAAGACAAAAGTATTTAAAATAATGTGCCAGTTGAATTCTAAACAGTCAATTATGGGAACATCAGGAAAATTTACTGCACATATATTTGGAAAATCAGCAAAAGTATTGATTGAAAAATATGGCATGAAAAATGTGTCTCAAAAGAAAATGCAACAGATATATCATGACATTTTAGTGTAAACACTTATCAGACTTTCACCCTATGTGACCAATTGCAAATGTGGTGAAATTTGGTGTTTTACACTTAATGCACGCAATGTAATTAAACATATATATGAAAACCTCATAATATTTTTTAATTTAAAAATGTTTTTCCTCACATCTACATACAACCCAACAAATAGAATTTGTTTGTAAATTGTATGTGTTTTATTAAACCAAAAAAGAACATGTGGGATATTAAACGATAATCAAAGAAAATCATAAATATATATATATCCATGTTGAACTTTATCCAGTAGTCAGACACCATCTGGAAACAATAGTTTCTAAGGAGCTTATGAGTAAAACTTGTGAGTCAGCATTCACAGCACATTGGTATGATGACGTGGCTGCTATTTCCAATTCCTATAAGCCTAGGAAATTAAACTGAGATGGTGGTGGCTGAAAGAAATGTTTCTTGAAGTAAAAAAGGAAATGTACATTAGTTTAAATACACTTTTCATAGTGTCACAGGGTATCCAAAGAATGAAAATGTCCAAGGGGTCTCTCAGCAAAATTAGAGTAAACATGAGTGAATACTACTTTTTACATTACCACGTTAAGGTAAAATATACATTTTCATTTAATTTCCATTTTGCGGTATGCAGTGTTTAAACAAAATGAACATATTACAACTAATTTGGCGATTTCAATAAAAATTTATTATAAAATTTGAGAAAACATAAATATTTGAGAAATGTTTAATACCACAATGTCCCTTAAAAGACTAAAGCACCATCCATGAATCTTGAAAAAAATGTTTTAATGTGTTCAGTTTGTTTTACTACTTCTAGTGTGTCAGTGCTTTGACCACAAGAAGATATTTTTTACGAAGAATACTTCTAAGAATGTTATCATATATGGTAGGAGCTTGTGTATATGAATAGGTGAGCAACAAGTAAAAATAACAAAAAGCTTCTCTACTGTTATATTATGACTGCTCTGCATGTCACAATGAAACTTGGTGTACTGTACTATACATGAAGCAGTAGCATTGAGTAGACACAAACTTGTTTCCAAACTTTTAAGCTACTGAAGTAATGTTAATAAATAAAAGTACCTTTGATTTAGAACAATAACATGCTTTTCAGTGGTTCTTTGAAATTTGTGCGAAAGGCTGTATTTTTCACTCATTTAACTATTTGTAGTTATTTAAGATAATAGCACCTTAAAAAAGTATTCTCCAGGTCATGTTCAGAAACCCCCTGCAAACAAATAGTCTCTGCTAAGTAATGCTTGTTCTTTTCAGTGGTGAATGCTGTAGGATAGAAGAGAAAGAAATGCTTAAATTGGATTTTTTTTTTCTCTTTGTAGACAGAGATTTGTCATTTCCATTGTCTTTGAAAGCCGCTTCATGGTTCCTTTCACACAGCTGTGTACTTACTGGTCAGTGACCTCTTGGCTCTTTCTCCCACAGAAAAGTCCATATCAAACGTAACACTTAAAATAAACACAGTGTGAATACTTGATTTGTGTTCTTAAGGGAAAAAAACTTTTTTTCTATGGCTGCTTCAGAACACATGGGAACAAGATTCCCATAAGAGTGGAATTCAGGTTTCAATTTCAGTGGTGGGTAAAATCCATTATCCAGTGTTGGTTAGGTCAGTAAAAGCTACTACATCTTCTTGGAGAACTTAAAAGTTATTCTTTCAGAGTGCTGTAAGCAATGATGTTATTGATGTCATACCATTTTCCCATTGTGAAAAAAGTTTTCATGAGCCTTGGGCAGTGCCATTTTATTAAGACTTCTATTATCCTCCATGCCTATTTTCAGACCTCCTTTGTTGGCAGTACTTTAGAAGTTTAATAAGGCTCTCTTTTTCCAGGCATATCAAAATGTCTTTTTTGTTTCAGTCCATGCTCATGCTCTAGAAAATGTCATTTGATTCATTCCTTTGTTTGGTATAACCTACACCTACATGTACAGATGCCTTTTTGGTTAATCTGTCATTCCGGTTTCATAATTGTGCATTTTTTCCACAAATTCATAAATTTGAATGAGTGCAAGATTTGCAGCATTGTTTGCCATAGAACTTGCTGTTACATACTCCATGCTGGGGCACCATGTAACACCAACTGTAGTAATCCTTGCATGCCACATCTGAGAAAAAACAAGAGAAAGATATGCTTGTTTATTAAGTAAAATAAAGAAATAATTGTAATTGTGCAATGAAACATATTTGCTGGAGATGAAAAGTAAGTTATATTAAAAAAGAATCTTAAAAGAAAATAAATGTATATTCTCCATTTGAACATGAACTAGGAGAACAATAATAAAAAAAGGTTTTCACAAAATGAAGGGAAAAACACAAACACTTACCTTTCTTTTTAGGTTCAGGGCAAAAATTAGTGTTACAGGCCTGAATCATGATGGGTTTTAAATGAAGGGAACACCCAGAGGAAGGCTTTCCTTGTGCTAAGCATTGCACTACGCGTCCCTGAACCCCTCCTCCACACGTCACAGTGCACTGCAAATGAAGACATAACTTTACCAAATGTATTACATTGAGAGTCACATTTTAATAGCAGATACTGAAACTGACATCCGTCTAAAATGATGTAGACATACTCAAAGCATCAAATGATCTAGATCTAGCTGAAGCTGCATTTCATTGAAAATTATTTCCTGATGTGGATTCTCAAAAGTAACACACCTTTGCTTTCTGAGAAAGGCATACAAAGGGTTTAATTTTGTTTAAAGCTATCTGCACTGCAACACAGAAATGATTCGTTATAATTTCATGTAACTATAAATAACTATATAACATAAATAACTGCTTGATTCTCACTATAATTATACACACATAATCATTGCACCAATACTTGAATGAGTTTTGAAAGAGCCAAGTTTAAAAACACAAGTGGGTCCAATCTCACAACAATTGAAGCGTGTACCTGAGACCAGGGAGAGGAGTACCAGACAGCCCTGCCAGCAGTAGACTGAGTACGAGTGACAGTACTGGGGCAGGCAGCCAGAGTGCACTCCCTCTGCAACTCAACTGCAGGCTTGGGCAGGTGGTGACACTTCTTTGCCACCAGCTCTTTGTATTTTCCTGCAGTATCCTTCTCTGCACACTTTATAAATCGCCTCTGAATCCCTCCGCCACAAGTTACCGAACACTGGAGATGAATGGACAAAAATATGCTCTGCAGTTAAATGCAGAAGAAACACTTTTTATGTACACTACAATCAAATGCAGATATGGTTGATGGGACTTTTAGTTAAAGCCACATGTAGCCACATGATGTATTTCTTTAAACGTAAAACATTGTGTAAATATTTTTATATTTACAAAATATTGTAATAGTTACTGTATACAACACAGTAGCACTATTACTGCAGAAGGGTGTGTTACTATAAATGATCTTAATTCTGTTTCAGATTTGGTTAGAAATTCATAAACCCAGTCTTTTTTGAAAGTATGTTCACATAATGAAGTTAACATTTGTAATGAAAATATGATAAACTTTCTTTTACCTGTATAAAAAATAATTTAAAAGTTCTGTGTAACAGTTTAAATTAAGTGTTTATCTGAGATGGATTTTTCAATCTGTATTCTTCTTAAAGATACAGTACATGTGAAATCTTTTAAATAGCATAATGTATGTAGAATTAATTTGTTGAAAAAAACACCACACTTTTCACTGTTCATTTCCATTGAAAATGAAAGATGTCCCATATGCATCATCAAACAGATACTGGTATCAGTATAGTAAAATGCCTAAAGGAATCTATGATGCATATGTTAGCTGTTATTCAAAGAATAATGTGCATATAGATAAGTACATGAACTTAAAACACATCAGGCGAGGAAATAAAAGAGATTCACAGAGCATTACTAATGAATAATTTAAGAGGGTTTTAAAGAATGCAAATGGATTATGGGATTTTTTTATGCCTAACCTAGCAGTTAATTAAATTTCTTCCATGCATAAGACACATGAAATATAGAGAGCAATCTATTAAGAAATGTTAAAGCTGCTGAGGAAATAACCAATGCATAATCAAGTTATGTAAATTAATAAAATGCCTTAAGGAATCCCCCACGCAAAGACAAGAAATCATTTAAATGAAAAAGATAATCCATCAGGAAAACAAATGACTATGCAGCCCATGCCACCTTCAATGCATTATTTGACAATTAAGAGAATTAAAAATGAATTTCCCACTTTTCAACAAGCTAAAAGCCTAGCTAATGAATAAAGACTGTGTGGCACAGTAATTCCTAAGCTATTATTTTTTTCTCATAATTACATTAAAACAACATTACTGTTTCACAGTCATTTGCATTCGGGCAAAATTAAGCACCTCAACATTTGTTAAAAATTTGGACGTTACACAAAACAAGAAAAAAGGAGAAATGTAGTAGGGATCTGTACTAGGACCATTGCTACCCTTAATTGACAGTGATCTAGATTTTGGTATGTTAATTAACTAGGTAAGTCTTTAGGTCATACTACGTTATCAGGATTGGCAAGTACTGCAGAAACAGCAAATTAAATTAAGAAAGATTTGCATAAAATTACAGCCCGGGCAAACACTTGGTAGATGATGTTTAATGTAGACTAGTGCACAATATTACATGTAGGTAGCAAAAAACGAAGTATGAATGGGAAACAAAATGGGAAACACTGAGATAGAGCAGGCTACGTATAAAAATTAAATTCTTATTTTTCCATGTTGTCAAATCATATATCTTCTTGACGATGTGGGTAACATCCAATGGTGCGTATGAAGGAAATTGCACAGAGCTTATTCTGTTTCTTGAATTAGATGTTGATATTCAAAGGATCACAGAAACTTGTTCTGCATTTCAAAGCATGAGAAATGTTCCCAGCTGATACCTTTATATCCTTTGCATTGTTCCGAAAATCCAATGCAGTGCATTTATGTGTATTTTACAAGACCATTTGGTAGGAACACGCTCATGGTATGTGTAGATGATTGCTTAATGATTGGATGATAATGGGCCACAATTCATATTTTATTTGTGAATTCACCTTTCAGGACTTTCCTGCAGTTGAACAGCTTACAGTTTGTTGCGTCAACACGTTACCACCCTTCTGCTAATTGGTTAATAGAAAAGGTTTGAAACTTGACAATGACAATTAAACAAATTTTAATGCAAGTCCACAGCCTACTCTTATCCCTGCATCACCCCTGGGTGCCATCATTCCCAGTGTGAAAGTAGACCACCTTATTTGAATGTGTAGTTACAGCAAACCACTTTGTTGGTCCCCATTACTTGTCTTTTTGAAAATCAATCTTTAACTCTTCTTGCTATACCCCATAATGAATTTAACATCTCTTCATTATTAGCATTAAATATAAGTTATGTACTGTACATGTTGCATAATTTTTATTTCTGTTTTACATACCTCCTGCCATGTGGAGACAAACCATTGAGAATTACGGTGTTTCTGGCAGCGTTTAAGAAAACAGGTTTCTTGAGTCTTGGGTTTGGGAACAGCCATGCAAGAGCCGCCTGGAAGGATCTGAGACCTTGTGGTTGGGTTAGTGCTCTTACACACCACTGTCCTCTTCTTTGTTCCTTTTCCACATTTGCGTGAACACTGAAAAATGGCAATTATCACCTTACTACTGATTTAATAACACAGTTTAGATTGCCTGCTTTTTTTAGAAAATTAAATGGGACATATGCATAGTCTTAATGATGTAAATTATAAATAAAAAAATAAAGCCGTCTTTGAAAACTGAACTGTAGACTAATGGTATTATACTCTAAAATGGAAAATACGAAACGTGAAAATGTAACCTGACAAAATATTAATATTTACAGTTTTCTGGTATCCCCTTAGTTTTTTTAATGGAATTTCACTGTTGAAATAAATGTCTATTTTTAGATTAGTGTAGCCATAATGTAGCTAACACATTTTCAGCACTAGATTAAATTAACATCTGTAATAAACTACCACTTTTTGACCTCAGATTCTGCTTTGAATTTTTTAGAGTGAACCTCCTTAAAGTGTCCCTTAGGGATAATTAAGTCTTCTGTCCAAACAGTGGAAATACTAGTGAACCTATTATTCATCGTAACACCTTCGTTCAAGTTAAAAGAACCGCAGCAAGGCTACTTCACTTTATTGTGTGTGAAAGTGCTATTGTACACTGGCAACAGGGACCTTTTAGGGAAAGCTGGAAAATGTTATAGCTCTGCATGAGGTTAATGGTTACATCATACCACTTCATATTCATTTATGTACAACTAAAGGTAATAGAGTTGAACATTTTTAGTTTCTTATACATTCCCCTCCAATTCCATGTATGTCTAAAAATAAAAGAAATCATGTAAATAACCTTGCTCTAGTTTTCTGCAGACACCTTTGGTAGAAAATTCCCAACATTATACTTCACAATGTTAAATCCAGATGACTAATGTACATTGAGCTAAAAGCAGTTTGACATTTAAAACTTAAAGCTAATATTTTTAGAGATTATTTTCTTGAACTTCATTGCGAAGAAAGAAAATCTGTTTAATAAATGGAACTGTTCATAGAAAATGTTTCCAAAACTGAACTAAAGAAATTAGGTATTTTTAATGCATATTTGTAAGAAACAAAATCTAAAATTCTGTTATCTCTATATTTATATTGACCTAATTTTGGTAATCAGTTTTACATTTGCTGTATTTCCAAAACAGGCACAGCTTTTGTTTAGAAATACCACTTATACTGTATACTGTCGGGTTCACAGTTTACTTTTGAAGATAGCCTTTAAATCTGTGTGAAGGATTTAACTTAATTCTATGTAATTACATAGAAATGGTACAGTATGCATTTTCCAAGACTTTGTATAGTCTTCTCCAGTTCTGTGATACAGCCAAACTACCAATTCCTTTATAGAACAAAAATGGACACAAACATGTTGTATTTGCTTTTAAAAATGTGACCCTTTTTTTCCCAAATCATTTTGTCTTTCCCTCAGTTTGCCTTGTATTCTTTGAGTTAGTATTTGTATTCCAACAATCATTGTTTTATACCAAACAAAAAAACAAACCTTTCAAATAGCCCTTTCCTGTGGAGCCTGCTAAGCCCACCTACAGTACATCCCTCACCCTTCATTAACTGTCATTTTCAGCCTGTGATGAGAAATGACACCAAAACATAAAATTACATGTTTACCTCAGACCATGGACCTGTGCTCCAGGCAGGAGGACAAGCGTGGATATTACAGGTTTGTCTGCGTACTGGAACTGGAAGGGGACACTTGGAATCCGCTACAGCCTCCATCTGCTTGCTAGTAATCCTCTGTAAGCAGCGTACCTGACGAATTTGCTCACCAATTCCACAGCTGCGATTGCAAGCACCCCATTCTCCAACACTCCAGCTGTGGGAAGAGGTAAAAGAAACTCATTTAAGCATTACAAATCCGAAAAGAAAACACGTTTTCCATTAGACAGACCAAATCTGTTGGATTTTTTCATGACGGAACTATTGATGCATATTTCATAGATTTTAAAGTGGTCACATAAAAAAAATAAACTAGTAATGACAATAAAAAGTAAATCTTGCAAAGAAAATTTACTAAGGAATTATTCCTATTTTACTCAGAGCATAGCAATATTTTTAAAATTTAAAATGGACAATTCTTTTCATTGTTGTAACATCACATTTGCGATTTTCATTAGCAGCTCAAGTTCTATGAAATACGAGAAAGATAGCTTGCAGACATGCACCTTCAATACACCAGCCAGCCATAGTCATTAGGCATTTGACATGCTGAAGGCTCCAGTGCTATAAAAATGTACTGGCATTAAATGAGAGTGTGGAGTAGTGGTTGGGACTCTTGACTCCTGACTGATGATCTGTCAATGTACAGTATGCTTTTATGTCTGATGTGCTGTTATTACACTTGATCAAGGAATTTGTCTTTAATTGTTCCGTACTGTATAAGTGGACACGCTCCAGGTCATCATCGTAAAATAAATAATCTCATAAAACACATTAGATAAGATTAACTTTATTGTCCACTAAAAGTGGAAGTTTGTCTTAGGTTTGCCCTATTACTAACAATACAATTAATTGAAATACACAACATTCAATTCATCAACCAACTTTAAAGACAGACACATCAGACATAAAAGCAGACATTCAAACTGATCATAATACAAATACAGGGTACAAACAAAATATCATTTACAACTTGTGTTTAGTACTTGTATGGAGTATAGGATAAAGAACCTTTTCTACACATTTCTAACATCTCTTGGGACCCTGAACTATTGGCTAGATTTCATTTAAATTATTTGCTTTTAAAAGGCAAATTAAATACTGGGAATAGAAATTGCAAAACAAAGATATGTGTAGTTACAGTAGAAGTGTACTGCTGAATTTCTATTTAGAAGACAAATCTGATAAATTATTTTCTTAAATAATTATCCTTATTTTATTTAAATCATTTACCAAATGTCTGACTGAAAAAGGAACTTTAAATAGATAAAAAGAGGGTTAACAAAACAGAAACTGGGATGGTGGTCAGTTTTAGTCCAGCAAAGATATTTCCCTATGTTATCTACCTAAAACAACCAAGTTAAACCAAGTTAAAAAAAATCACCAGAATAATATAAACCATGTGAAAAGCCTAAAGCAAACCTTAGAAATAGCACTGGTATGAAATTTAATTAAATACTACTTATCCGTTTGATTAAAAAAAAAAACTTCTTCAGTAAATGTTGATATACTTACTGAATATTTTTTCAACTGCTAGGTCTTTAGCATTTTATTCTAAAAATATGAAGTTATCCAAGCTTTGCAATGTATCCAAGGTTTCAATGTCTCTGACTAAAAATGTGAGTTTTTTGTGCCTTTTGTTCTTGAACATATAGAATACAACACTATAAAATAGAACTATGACAATGTATGATCGTCTCATTTTGTCTTGTAACCTGTGAAAATATGTATTGGGTTAACAAGTTAATTTCTTTGTACTCTATAACACACAACTGCACTTTTTGTGTAAGACAACATGCTTTCCCACCTGACACTAACATTCAGCAATACTACTGTGTTACAATAAGATGCTGAAATACATTCCAAATAGCTGCTACATACAGTGGTGTGAAAAAGTGCCCCCTTCCTGATTTCTTATTTTTTTGCATGTTTGTCACACTGAAATGTTTCAGATCATCAATCAATCTGAAATATTAGACAAAGATAACACAAGTAAACACAAAATGCAGTTTTTAAATGAAGGTTTTTATTATTAAGGGAAAAAAAAAATCCAAACCTACATGGCCCTGTGTGAAAAAGTGATTGCCCCCTAAACCTAATAACTGGTTGGGCCACCCTTAACAGCAACAACTGCAATCAAGCGTTTGCGATAACTGGCAATGAGTCTTTTACAGCGCTGTGGAGGAATTTTGGCCCACTCATCTTTGCAGAATTGTTGTAATTTAGCCACATTGGAGGGTTTTCGAGCCTTAACCACTTTTTTAAGGTCATGCCACAACATCTCAATCGGATTCAGGTCAGGACTTTGACTAGGCCACTCCAAAGTCTTCATTTTGTTTTTCTTAAGCCATTCAGAGTTGGACTTGCTGGTGTGTTTTCGATCATTGTCCTGCTGCAGAACCCAAGTGCGCTTCAGCTTGAGGTCACGAACAGATGGCCGGACATTCTCCTTCAGGATTTTTTGACATCAGAATTCATGGTTCCATTTACCACAGCAAGTCTTCCAGGTCCTGAAGCAGCAAAACAGCCCCAGACCATCACACTACCACCACCATATTTTACTGTTGGTATGATGTTCCTTTTCTGAAATGCTGTGTTACTTTTACGCCAGATGTAATGGGACACACACCTTCCAAATAGTTCAACTTTTGTCTTGTTAGTCCACAGAGTATTTTCCTAAAAGTCTTGGGGATCATCAAGATGTTTTCTGGCAAAACTGAGACGAGCCTTTATGTTCTTTTTGCTCAGCAGTGGTTTTCGTCTTGGAACTCTGCCATGCAGGCCATTTTTGCCCAGTCTCTTTCTTATGGTGGAGTCATGAACACTGACCTTAACTAAGGCAAGTGAAGCCTGCAGTTCTTTGGATGTTGTCGTGGGTTTTTTTCTGACCTCTTGAATGAGTCGTCGCTGCGCTCTTGGGGTAATTTTGGTCGGCCGGCCACTCCTGGGAAGGTTCACCACTGTTCCATGTTTTCGCCATTTGTGGATAATGGCTCTCACTGTGGTTCGCTGGAGTCCCAAAGCTTTAGAAATGGCTTTATAACATTTTCCAGACTGATAAATCTCAATTACTCTGTTTCTTATTTGTTCCTGAATTTCTTTGGATCACAGCATGATGTCTAGCTTTTGAGGATCTTTTGGTCTACTTCACTTTGTCAGGCAGGTCCTATTTAAGTGATTTCTTGATTGAGAACAGGTGTGGCAGTAATCAGGCTTGGGTGTGGCTAGGGAAATTGAACTCCGCTTTCCAAAGATGTGATAAACCACAGTTGATTTATGTTTTAACAGGGGGGGCAATCACTTTTTCACACAGGGCCATGTAGGTTTGGATTTTTTTTTCCCTTTATAATAAAAACCTTCATTTAAAAACTGCATTTTGTGTTTACTTGTGTTATCTTTGTCTAATATTTCAATTGGTTTGATGATCTGAAACATTTCAGTGTGACAAACATGCAAAAAAATAAGAAATCAGGAAGGGGGCAAACAGTTTTTCACACCACTGTATACTACTTGAATATCAACATAATGTATGTGCAACTCTACTTAATATGGAATTTAGTTTAGAAGGGGAGCACATTGGCACAGTGATTAGCACTGCTGGGGCCCTGGGTTCAATCCTGGACATGGGGTGCTGTCTTTGTGGAGTTTGTATGTTCTCTCTCTGTTTATGTGGGTTACCTCCCACGGTCCAAAAACGTACAGGTAGGTTCATTGGGTTCTGGGAAAATTGGCTATAGTTGTGAGTGTGTGTGTCTGGCCTGCTATGGACTGGTGTCCCATCCGGGGTTTACCCTACCTTGCCTTGTAACCCTGAATTAACTTTAGAAGCAGTTATACAATGGAATTATGGATTTAGTTTAGAAATCCATATTCAGTTACATTTATTAGAGCTGTAAAATGCCAAATTCAGGGGATGGATGTGCATTGGATGAAAATAATCCAAGAAAAATGCCTATACCCGTTTGTGGCTGAATCATTTCACCCAGTGTGTGCATTATGTTTGAAACTTTACAGTGCTTAATTGAACACTTTTTTGTGTATGTAGATAAACTCAACCAATATATTCCTACTCTTTAACATGAAAGTAACAGGATGAAAGTAAAGACATGTACAGTATGTACAGTAGTAGGTCAAAACAAACATGAGGCACTGCATGTGTCTTTCCAGAGCCACATTCACCTAAATCAGTACTATAATAGTACACTGGCACTAATAAATAGTAAGTAAGCATATCTGTTACCTAACCATTATTTAATCATGTCACTGTATTCCAGGATAGGAAATACATGATGTATTATTAGAAAACTTGTAAACAGACTAACTAAAGGGATGCTGACCTAATGATCACGTTTCTTTGCTGTCTGATGAATGCTTTTAGTACAGACTTCTGGCCCCGGGTTCCTGATACTGTTGGCAATCAACAGGCATGGAGGCTGACTCCAGGTCTAGCGCTGGAGATCAGAGCTTGAGCAGGTTGATGACAGCTAGCTGGCTTGTGCTACTGAAAATAGTTCAAATAAAGGATCCTCATACTGTAAATCCAACCTTCCCCTGTTTCTTCTCCCACTCTGACAACCAAAGCATGCCTATCAGCACTTTTACAGAACATAAACTTCACAGTTATTTACAGTAGGGCATCAATCGTCTGTAACGCTAAAACTAGAAAAAATATGTTCGGTCTGTTCTCAAGGCTCTTCATTGGTCTAAATGCAGAGTTGGTGGTATTTCATGTAGTCTCATTCCCCTCTTTAATTTCTTTTTGCAAGTTATTCGTTTTTTTATTTAGCAGAATAGGACATACATTAAGCATCACTGTTGTAATCTGGCTGCTACTCATCACAGCACAACAGTTTATAATTGTTGGCAAGGGAATTTTGTACAATATAGACAAGAGTCACAGAAATAGGCATTTTGAATAAGTTAATTTGCTAGAAATTCTAATTATTACTTGCTAGGTTTAATAACAGTTCAATAATGGTGTACTGTATGTCCATTATACAAAGATGGAACACAATGACCTGTGAAAAAGACTAAGGTCTTTATGTTGACAATTTCAATGCATGTATACAATTGTACAATGCACTAGTAAGGCATCATTAATTTGAAAGAATTCTAATTTGACTCATGAATTAGCTAAAAAGGCCATTTTGCTCACAC